ATGTTAGCTATTAATGCTTTCGGTTTTTCTATCACCAATTGTTGTTAGCGATCACAACTGGGCCACAAGCAATATAGTGTATCCTCGATTTTTTTAGAAAAGAAAAAAGAAAACAAAAGTCTTCATTTTTGATTGTCAGTTTGTTTGCGAGAATAGCAAAATGAAAAATAAAGTGGGAAAAACAGGCTAAAAAATAATTTAAAAAAGAATTCATGAACGAAAGGGTGAAAAAGGGTAATATTATTGCGGAATATGCTTTGGAAAAATTTATATTTGGCAATATTCGTTTCATTTTATTAAGACGAAAAAAAAGAGTGGAAAAGTTTTAAAATTATTAATAAATGTGAGTGTCAGAAAAAGGATAGATAAGCAAATTTGCATTTAAATTTTGTAATTGAGAAAATCTGTGAAAATTTTCATCAATGAAACATTATTTGAAATGGAGAAGAAAAAGATTGTTTCGAAATATGAAAGGTTGAATTTGGCATGGGAAAAAAGTATAGAAAATATTGCATTATAATTAAAGTTGGTTGGGAATAAATTTACTGAAGAAAATATGGTAAATTGATGTTTATAAGCGCTTCCGCATATGTCAATCAAACGATGTTATTCTTCGTAATAACACGTCATTTGTTAGAAATGTTGAAGTTTGGAAAACAAAAAATAAATATCCGAAATATTGTAGTGTTTTTTTTCTTTTGACAGGTTCATGCATAATTAACAATGTTAGCCTTTACATGAAGAACAAAAATTTTGATAGAGAAAATGATTCATTCATCAATCAAAAAAAATACATATATGTTTAAGATATTCGTAATGGAATGGATGGATCCTAGAAAGTTGTTAGACAATTATTTCGTTTTCTTGACTGTTAGTAGAAGTATACTTTGTCTCTTTTCTAGAAAATTGATTGTGAGACACAAATCAATGATTGAAATAAATGAAGTGTAAGGAAGTAGCTCAAGTATGCTTTTCCCTTTTCCAATTTTTTTTTTTTATTTTGACAAATAGATGTTAGCAAATGACTATGTACATTTCAGTGGAATAAATAACTATGCAACATTCAGCATTTTGATATTTTTGAGTAAAAAGAATGAGTAAATATTTAACATTTGCTTGTTTAATAATCACATACGAAAGAATGCTAAACCTTTCCCATTTCATTCAAATTCAATTTTTAACTTCAGTTTTTAGTCTAATTTAATTTCCATTCAATCCTCGTTTATTATTTGAATACTATTCATAGATTGATTTAAAGTAAAATGAATTGAATGATGACTATACACACTGATTAGATTTCAATTCAATATTTTTGATTTACTTTATTTTTTCTATCGAATCAAATTAGATGGAATGAATTTTTGTTTTTGGTCTAAACTGGTTTATTCTCTCAAAAATATCTTACAATTTGGTTAGGCTGAATTGTGCCAAGTTAAGAAATATTTGAAAAATTTTTATTTTTATTTTTTTCCCTTTTCCTATCAGCTAAACTTTTTCTTTCCCACTCTCATTGCTCTTTTTTTCCAATATCACTTTTTAATTAATCTTATAGCATTTATTAAATTTCCATCGTCTAGAAAGAAAGAACTTATTTTACGAGTTATGTGGGAGCATTTGTCATTTTGCAACTCCTGCAAAAATGGCATTTTAGAAAGCGTAAAAAAGTTTTTTCCTCATTTAGAATTTTGCTCGTTTTGGCCAAATTCAGAAAAAATAAAATAAAGCGGCTATCAAAACATTCATCCACTCATGGGGCAAAAAAATAGATCTACAAGTACGTAAAGGAAATGAATGTCCGAAAAAAAAGAGAAAAATAGTGGAAATCATTTGGCTCTTTCTATTAAAATGTTTACTAGAGATTATAAGCAGAAAGATTCATCTCAAAACGAGAAAAATTTTATCTCTCTTAAAGTTAAGAATGAAATTTAATCATTGCCTCCTTACTCATATTTCGTTTGAGCAATAGGCTTCCTTAAACACTCCTTGAAATTCCCACTCTTCCCACTTCTCAATTTGGCGAGTGTATTGAATTCCATCATTTAAGTACAAAAAAATTCTCATTATAAACATTTTAGCTAAATTTTAATACTATCATATTGCTAAATGGGATATTTGAACACTGTAGTAATTTGATCTAAAGAACCCATCAAGTGAGTTCAGACTGATGAACGACATCTACCACTGAGCTAGAAATTTCCTCTTCTTCCTCCCTTAAGCTATCTCGCATTGTTTGAAATTATGAGGTTAGGCTAGATTGACATGCCTGTGAGACAGGACAAAAAATAATGCTTGTAAATGTTTCAATCAACCATTTAACAGGCAATTGATATCATTTTGACATGATGAATGCTATGCATTAACTGACATTTTTAATAGCTTAGTAAAAGTTTGCTTTTCTGGAATCATTTGCATAGATGATCACTGTATTGCAAAGAATTTAACAGTTTTCTAAAAAATATTTTCTATTAAAAAAATGCAGTAAAATGAAATATGGACTAAAACTGAATCAGAAAAGCTAATATTTAAATATGTATGACGTGAACTAGCTTTAGCGAAGCACTGTAGATTTAATTAAAAGCAACACTAAGAAGTTAGGTCGGTTCGTTTCTAGTTAGGACGAGAAAAAGCATTAAAAATAGCTAATGATTGTTAATAACACTCAGGCAGACTTTCTGCGTACTTTTTTCTGAAAGAGGAAAGTACTGATAAAAAAAATGATAAATCTATATTTTTCCCAAAAAATCTTATTATGTGACACCTTAGTAACAAATCACAAGTTTTATTTGTAATATATATGTTACAAATCAGTCATTTCATTATAGAGAACGAATAACCACAGAAAAGTTAACAAATCGTTTTTAAAATTTTTTGCACAAACCAAAAAATGTTCGCCTACAGGAATCATTGAAATTAGTGATAAACAAGAAACAAATAATAGAATCCAAAATTCAAATCAAAAAATAACCGCAAAACTTTTGCAAACAAAACTACTGCTTCGGGAAGAAGGACATGAATAACAAAAATTCCATATCATTTACTAAAAAAGGCACACAAAAAGCACTGAGCAGTAGGGCATTGCACAGCTGTTCCCAAAAATTTTTATGTAAAGCTAATTAGAAAATTGGGTGGTACCCAAACTGTAAGTATAAACAGTAAATGAAGATTAGCAAATTACGAAATTCATTTTTCAAAATTCCTTCAAGATTTAATTCAGAACACCTCCATCCTCACCATAAAGCATAGCTTTTTCATAATGAGATTTACGAAACATGTAAGCATTGCAACATAGATAAACCTAAACTGGATATCGATTTTCAGGTGCTAAACGATCCAAAATCTGCAAACTTTACTTGAATAAAAATGAAAACACCTTTCTGAATTTGCCTCAATTCACGGTCACAATGATTAAAAAAACCAAAGAATAAGGACAAAGATCTTAAGCCAATGAATATAGATGAAACCCTATCCCTTTCATACCTTACGGACAAAATCAGAGCCATAACGACTGTATTTTTTACCACAACTGACAAGATGAAAACTATCAGTCGTTTTAGAAAAAAAGAAAAAGATAATTACCTGTGATATTCCTGGTAAGCATAAAACACTACCAATAATAGGAACTTGACGAAGAAAATTTGTGGCAACCGGCAAAAAACCACTGAAATCAATACTAATTCATATTTCGAAATAAAAAATCGATGTTTTAAACGATTTAAGAATACAAGATATAATCTACCTTCAGTCTATTATAAAAAAAGGGAAAATACTTGATGAAGTGTGTTCTTAGTTTTAGTATAAGTGGAGCAAGATATGCGAAAGATAATTTGCCGAAGTTAGGAAAAAACTAAAACAAAACATGTGTCTCAAGATTTAAAGGGAGTTAAAATTCTATTAATACTCATGAAACAAACAGATGGGGATTAGTTTTATATGAAAGTAAATAGAAAACTGTAGAAAAAAACTTGCCCAAACAAAAGAAAAAAACCCCAAATTTCGGCAACGATTCCCAACAACGGCCAACCAAATAATACAACAATTATCCCGCCGAAAAATAATGAAGATGCCTTGACCTTGTGCCTTTGAAAAAAGAATGCCATTGTCCGCTGGATTCCTATTACCAATACTAACCCGCTTATAAATAATAGCTGAAATGACACAAAGAAGTAAACTAATCATACTGTGTTCTTATGTTTCAAGGAAATGATCCGAAATAAATGAACTAACATTTCCAATAGCGAGCAATGCTCCATCCAGAAAAAGAATAATACCAAGTGTGAAGAATGTAACACCGAATAATGTCAATCCAATACCAATTTCTGAAACTCTTGGATTGACCAACTAAGAAGTGAACAATCAAATGAATGAAGAAGGGTAACTACGGCTCTATATGGATCGGTTTTTACGGTATTCCCTAGCAAAATATTAAATACTCTTCCCGTCGAATTACTAAGAAGCTCGTCGGAAAAAGTAGTGAATTGATATATAATCATACTTGATTACTATTTCACAAATATCATCCTTCGTTTCATGTGTTTCATGCGTCTCAAACACAATCAATTGCTACTGATATATCATAATTTTTTTTTGGTAGCATTGACATCAATCTTTGAAGTTAACTAGTATAAAATTTACATAAAGTGGAAAGAAGTAAAAAACAAGATGAAAGGAATGTGACAAACGTACGTTTCGTGCTGCTCAATTCAAAATTCATTACTAGTAGGGCGACCAACCGCCTCACTTCAATTCGTTTTTGAGTACGATAAGAGATAAGTGCCTCTTATCACCCCAATAATTAAATCAGTTCAGCCAGGGGACCTTCCAAAAACACGACCCTTTGTCTTACAAATCAACTTCTAATTCCTTGTCCATTTTCCAAATTTTAACGCGTCCCATCTCATCAAATTATGAAGCCTATCGCAAAAAGACAGTGAAGTGATCAGTTATTCCAGGTGTTCGCGAGGTACGGAGAGTGCGGTGGAGGGTCCATTGACGAGACGTTTCGAGTATTTTCATGATGAGGCTGGAAGGAGAGATCTCGAGGAAAATGTTTTCAAATTCATCGAGACAAAGAGAATATTTTGCGGAAAATGTTCCAATTCACGAAATTTGCAGAAACTGAATCCTATGCATAAGCAATCTAAGAATCGTATAATTTATCAAATTTTCATCATTCTGCATGCCTTACTTTCTTTGTTGCTTTTTGATCTCAATAGTTCCTCGTACATGCAGAAAGTTCAAGAATCAAAAAGGATAGTTTTGTGTAACTTTTCCTTGTATTTAGATTAAAACTGTGAATCTGTTTTCATTTTCTCAAGTTTTTTTTTTTAATCTGTTCCAGCTCATTTCTATAATTGCCTTCTTCACTCTTATTTCTTCTCTGGCTTCCATTTGACAATTTTAGGTTCTGATCGCATAAAACTTAATGATGTTTGCAGTTATTTTTAAGTTATATATGCGAAATTGTTTCTTAAGAATGCGAGACTTTTGCACAAAATTATAGGTTTGTTTTAGGATTTGTCGAGGAATGTCAAGTGAAGATGAAGAGGAAGAAGTTGAGACTAATAATTCTCCAAATGATGATTCGAAAATAGAATCTACTGTTCTGCTAGAAGATGTATCCAACTCAATCGGTGCCGCTACTAAACGTAAAAGAAGCGGTCTTGACATTCCCATTGCTAGCACTGATATTTTACCCACGTGGGTGGCCGGTAAGGTTTTGCAGTGATACTAGTGTTTTGAACAAAACTAGACTTTAATGTTGAAATCTTCATTTTAGAAAGAAAAGAAATTTTTGAACTGCTTAAAGATTCTTCTCATTTTGCGCAATTGTGGAATAAAAAACTATAAATTTAATTTTGTTATGAAACCTGCAAGTTATACCTAAGTTATACTTTGTCTTTCGAACTATTCTTAATGGATAGATCAAAGTCAAGGCGAGAGTAGTTTGACACTTAAGGAAGAGTTGTATTTTCTCTTGAAATCTATTTATCGAATGCATTCTTTTTCAGGTGCTTCACCAGCCAAATTTGTAAGTATGGATGAATTAATGAAGATGTCAGTAGCATTAGAGGACATGGCATTGGTACATGAAATTGCGGTTAATCCCGAATTTGTTATCGAGAGAAACTCGACAAACTTAGTAGAGCAAGCAGTAGAAAGTTGCATGAAAAAAGCTTATTGGGATAAACTGCGTGAAGATTTTGCTAGGATACCGCCAGATTACTCTTATGCCCTAATTTTGCTTGATGATATAAAAAAGGTTATTTTTATACGCTTAACTATTATCTTATGCACTTAAACATGAAGTTTGTATAAAGGTACTATACTTGAAGAACAAAAAAAAGAAAAAATGGGGTATTAAAAAACAAAAAATATTTATATTATTAATTACAACATGACGTTTCGATAAGTCAGTATATTTTTTCTGACTTATGCTTACAATCTCAGAAGCTCTTCCAGATCCAAAATTATCAAAAAGATTGCTATTTGCGGCAAAAGCGGCAATTTAGAAAATCTGTGCATTTGTCTCAAATGTAATCTCAAATGTGAATTTTTTAATTGCAGCTTTTTTCATCTTATTTATGTTTTACTTATAGATGATATTGGATCTGTTGACGCAGCAGCACGTTCGTTTACGTTCTGAAATAGATTGCATGTTGGATATTGACTTATTAAGGCAGCAAGCTGAAAATAATTGCCTGGACGTACGTCAGTTATTTGAAAATATTGTCGAACTTTTGAGCAGACTTTGTGCACCAGCAAGAGATAAATTGGTGAATGATTTGCGTAAGAAATCAGACAATGTAGATATGTTGAGGCAAGTTCATTTTCAAAGTACAGATTTTCATGATACCTAACTGAGGTAAATAAATGGTATAGTATGAATGAAATTTTACAGAGGCGTGTGTGAACTTTTGGATTTAATGAAATTAGATATGGCTAACTTTTTTGTTCAAGTTAATCGTTCTGTTGTTGAAAAGCATTCAGCTGAATATGAGAGGACGCAATTTATGAAGCTTCTGGATAAAAATCCAGGTTCGCAGAATTATTTATCAAGCTTTTTTTTTTCTTTGAAACGTGTAGGAAGAAAAAAGTTGTATTGCTTTAACTTGCATCAATTCTAATCATTCAGTTACTTTCGTAAGTGCACAGGAAGTTCGTAAGTATTGTGTGGACTAATGATTTTCCATTTTTCTCGAATGTAATTTTTATAATTTGATTTTAGGGCTGGAATTGTCAACATTGGAATGGTTGCATAGACATATAAGTATGAGTAGTACCGATGGACCATCAGCCAAGAAAAATTTTGAAGTAAATCTTGTGTTTGATCTCATATCTTCCATTTATGCATTTTCTTTTTTTTTCGATTTTTGCGAGTTCGATATTATCCTTTATTAAAAAACTTATCAATTTAGTTTTACAGGAGTTGAATAACAGCGAAGTAAATGCTGTAATAAGTAACGCATATATGGAATTGCTGGAATGGAATTTTCAAAATACCTATCCTGAAATCCTCAAGGTATCCTTCCTTGTCTACACAATTCGTTTCTAAAATATATAGATTAATATACTGAAGAATTATAAAAAATGTTTATTTTTGTCAAAAAGCAAAAGAATGATTTTCTTTAGTGGTCTTGTATGCAAAGCAAAACTTTGGACAATTTTGAAGCCTTCATAATCGTATCAAATTTGATATATAAAAATAAAAATTAATTAACAGAACGACTGATAGAGAATAATGGTTGTCTGTTTAAAAAAAAAAAATCAAGAAAAATACACTAAAACTATCATGACGATCAATGATGACATTAAAATATCCCTTGCATTGAACTTTCTTGCAATTATGGGATTAATGTTTTTGATCTTTTTGTCGATTTTTTTCAAATAAAATTATAGCAATCTTCAAATGGTAAAAGTCATGTTAATAAATTTGTTTAGTAGTTTTAATAATCAAGGAAATGATTAATTCTAAAATTTGTAAATTTAAAATATGATATTTTAATTATGATTAATATTTTTTAAAATATGATTAATATTTTAATTGCTTGTAAAGGATAATGTATTATTTCTTTATTCATTATTATAATAACTATGTGGTGTTTTTAGATTGATCGGTTGCGATTGGAGGCTATAGCTATGAAATATTTACAGTTGATCGTGTGTACCAGTTGTGTACTAGTTTCTTGCAATCTTGCTGGAAAGGATGTAACTCAATTTAAAGATTTTAAAACAAATTTGAAAAATGACGTAATCATTATTACTAATGATATCACTAAAAGGTTAACTTCAGTATCCTCATTTCTTTTTTAAAATTTGGTTTTTCTAAAATTTGACTTTAGATTATACAATTTCAACTTCAAAATTTTTAGCAACTTAATGGATCGTCTTGAAGCAGTATCTGTTCTTTGTAATGACAGAATATTGAAATGTTGCAAAACGCTAGGCATTAGTTGGACTAACGAAAGGTCCACTGAATTGAAAGAACAAATTTTGCAAATTAGTGATCATGCAAATCATGTCCGGAAGCTTATCCGTAAGTTTTGATTTGTTTTATATTTTTAAACTTAAGTTTCAATTTTATTTTTCAAGCGTAGCACTCTCTAGATCTCTGATTTTCCACTAACCTTTACATTTTCTTGAAGCTGAGAGATCGTTATTCAACTCTTTATTTTTTTTAGGCGACAGAATACACGTCTTTATTCTTTCGGTAATCTCAAATCAAGTGCCATATTATCAGCAGCAGTTTCCACCCGGTTTATCCATAATACATGCAGAACTTTCAGCCCTTACTGCACGTTTCGTGCGTATTGTAAATCATAATAGGGAAACTTTCGGTCCATATTATGGCCAGTTAATTAAAAGACTAATGAATTGTTAAATGTTTTCACTGGTAATAAAATAACGTTATTTCTTATCTTTAAACTTCGGTGTTCCTGCGTTGTTCAATTTTTGACAAATGATTGGGAAAATGCAGCACAATGATTGATTTCTCGATTATTAAGAAATAGGTCAGTTAAATATGAGAAAGCAAACATTAAATTCATTAAAAATAAGAATAAGACGCATCTTAATTTCGTACAATATAATGGATATTTTCTGAATTCAGTTTAAAATCGAGCGTACAGTGTCATTTTTTAAAGACAGAATTCATCTCTGCTGTATTACGAGATAATATTGAAAATTGCATAACTTCGCCATAAGTACTACAATTCAACTTGTTAACGAAATATATGATAATGGAATGAAATATAAGAAAAAAATCAAGATTAAATGCACGTACCTGAAAGACTTATAGATGTATAAGGAAATGTATCAATTTTTCAAAAAGATAGGTGGGATAGTGTGAATGCTTAGTCAGTTATATAACTGCTTTTTTTAGAACCTAATTTAAACAGTTTTTTCTCATTTAGTTCCATAGAGGCTGGAATATGTCCCTTTTTTTCCAAAAATATGTGGCTTTAATTGTGTTTTGAATTGTAAAGAAGAATAGAAATTAACAACATGGAAGTGTCATGCTTAAAAAGAGTTCCTTCAGAGGATTGAGTAATGTTATTTAAAGTAAGATTTAGAAGCTATAGAAGGAAAAGCTGTCGAATGGTTTATTATTCTCGTGGGAGTGAAGCGAGAGGAAGTGAAATCAAAAACCGAGCTAAACTCATTCCATCCGACCATCCATATTTTTGGCATTATTTAGAGAGAGTTTTAGAGAACGATGGCTTTCTATTTTGCTCTTATGAATGTCTCCAATGCTACCCTTAATAATTCAACAAAACCTCGTTCATCATCTCTCTCACGTAATCGTTATCCGATACAACGATTTAATCGACGACGTTGCACAATCACTTCTTATGATTCTGATACATTGTTCAAGTGAATTTAATTTCATTATCGTGTACAAATATCATTCGCAACCACTAAATTGTATTTACTAAAATTGGTCACTTTTGAGTTTCGAGTTTTTAATTTTATTTTCTTTTTTTTTGATATATAAAATTTTATTATTAAGGATAAGAGAATTAACAATAAAATCCCTTCATTACTAATGATTTTTTCGAAGTAAAAGTATACTAAAATGAATTCAGTAAATTTTAATCATTTTAGTCATAAGATCGATTTTTGAAATTTGTTAAAGGTGTTACTAATACAAACGATTTGTTATATACTTTATAATTATAAATTACAAGATTATAAGATTTATAATTATAAGAGAATTCTCTTAATATATTTGTAGTGATTTAAGGCTGGATGAACTACCATCTCAGATTTACCGAAAACAATATAAATTTCATGAAGTTCAAAAGGACTCAAAACTTAGGAATGATATTCAAGAAAAAAAAGTAACGTCCCAGAAAAGAGAACTCGAGAAGACAGTAATCAAAGTGAACAGCTTTTTAAGAAATCGTGTTTTTTCAGGTAATATGTTTTCTATGTGAATTGAGGATTATGATAATTCGGGTTTAAAAGATTTTGCAAACTTATAAATTTGTTTTTGCTTTAATAATGGAATAAGCAAGTATAGCTTTAACTTAGGTTTAAAACTTCTAATTTTTAAGTCTTTATATTGGGAGCTTTTTTGTTCAAATCCATTGGGAGCAATATTAAATAAATAAATTTAAACATGTCTTCTTGTAAAGCTATAAGGGATGTTGTTATTATTAATGTAAGAATGAACGAAATACAATCTAGGGATACTGAGAAAGCTGAGCTCTTACTAATTTCGAATTTTCTCGGATACTCAATTAATAGATATTCAAAAATTTTTAGAATTCCGATTTTCATATTTAAAGAAAATGAAAAATAAAATCACTATTTAATTGTATGATAAATAAATCTTAATTATTTTCTCAATTCTGGCTATCAGACAAACACACGGAGCACCCTTCACCGACATTTCATAAGGCAAATATCGAGCATAAGCAACGAAATGTTATGAAGAAATCGTTATCGATTTGGAAGACGCCTTCCTATGGTGATGTAGTAGGTTGGTGAAATTCCGAATAAGTATGCATGAATATGAGTAAAATTTCAAATTAAATGAATTAATATGCTGATCGAAAATTTCAGATGCTTGGTTACCAAACACGAAAAGATCAAATTCCAGGCATGAAGCAAAAGTAAACGAGGTTCGAAATGTATTAATTTGAGAAATTTCTACATTATAAAAAAAAAAATAATTCACTGTGAGCTGCCTGTGTATGCAAAGCGATGAAGTGATATTTGATGCAAATTTAGAACTCCACTGCAGGGATATCCTCTCGGATTATCAGTTTATTTCAATCAGATACAAGGAGTGAACGACCGAACTGTCACACCTAGCATCCTACAAAATGCTACTAATGAATTGATCGAACACAAATTAATTCTATCAACGCCATCCAGGTTTTCATTTACTGTTTATAAACACTTGCAATAAACGAATACAATCTTCTTGCAACAGTTCCAATATGACCATATTCTCTTTGTTATCTTCTGCCATTAATTTTAAATTGTAGAAATTGCGTGACCAGTTGAATGAATTGTAAACATTTGAATTCATCAATGTTAGGTAAATAAAGACGAAAACTTGAAATACCCCATTGACTGTATTGACTGTTTTCGTTCCGTTTACTGAATAAGGAAAACTAGTTAGAATCAGTTATATGATATGGGTTAAGAGGAAGATTTAGTGCAAAAATTTGAATATTTCCAGCAGACGAAATTTTTGGAAACCTGCCACCCTTACACGACGCCGAAGTGACAGTGACAGTTATTCAAAGTATACATCGTCATCGTCTTACTTCAATCCTGAATTTCGTTTCGTGGAAGATGAATTCAAGATATTGGAGAACAACGCAGCTATTCCACCTGATGAGAATTATACTTTTTCATCCTATATTTATTCGAAAAGATTACCGCTTGCCGATGATTCTTGGCGGATTCGATAAGCTATTTTTGATATTCACAAATGAGAAATTCTCAAAATAAATTCCAAATCTCAGTTTTATGCAAGACAGAGTTCAGTTCTTAAAGAGAAGCAAATTCATTTTAATTAAATTCAGTTCAATATTTTTGGTCGATCCATTTTAAGCACTTAACAATTTGTCCAGTTAAATCCTCAATTTTCAATGAGTTAATGAATAAAAGAGGTATATTGCCAAACAAACAAATGAATCCCTCATGTAAAAATGAACTAAATAGCGCAATGAAACTTGAAGAAATCAATTCCCAGTAAATCTAAGTTCAGGATTTGAAAGTGTTGTGCACTAACAATTTTTTTAGATTTTAATTAGTTTGCGTTGCAGGTAATTTAAAATATAATTTGAAAAACACATTAAAACATTTTCTGTAAATTAAATTAATAAAAACTTTATCAAAGTAAATAATTAACATTATCTATTTGAAAAAGTCTAGAAAGTAAGCTAAGCAAGATGGAACTGCAATTTAAACTATAACTCAAACAAAGCAATTGTAATTAACAAAATGAAATAAGAAATATCGACTATATGGCTAACACAAAAACGCATTGCTTCCTGTTATCAAAATAAGCCAATGGCATACATTTTCTAGGCCGGGCGAGAATATTTATTTCGGTAACAATACATGAGGATTTCTCAAAAAATCGGAATTTTTCTTTTAGTTTTGAAATAAGTATCAAAGAACTATAAACTGGGTGGGATTTTGAATTAGATTAATAAAAAATTCATGGAAGTTCCATGTTCTATATATTTCACTATCAGAAAAGAATCGTAGCATCCATAAATTGCATTTTTAAAAAGTTTGTGTATGTGATAGGAAATCCTTATTTAACATAATTCTTTTTGAAGCTACTTGCTTTTATCAAATTTATTAAAAGCTTCAATTCTGACTAATGAGGAATTATGTACTTTGACTGACTTGTGAATTCGAAAATTCACAACACACCAGGTGGACCTTGCTTTCGTACGGCATAAACTGGTTCTTTCTCATAAATTCTATTAAATGGTTTTTTCATGTAATTTTGAACAATTTCTTCCTTACGCAACATTTCCTCGCTTAGATGGCCATTCCTCTTCATTTGCCTCCATTGGTAACGATTCAGCGGATGTTCATTGCCGTAATATTTTTTAATGAAAGCATATAACCTATAATCAATTTCTGCGTAATTTTTCGACGCCATTTTATATAGAAAAACACATTTGAAAAGGCAGAACTTAAATCCTCGTTTGTTCTCACACTTAAAACAAAACTATTGACAAATTTTAAAAAAAATTTTAATTCTTGCTTCGTAAAAAATAAACAAACCCAACGGTATAAATAAGTATGACAGCAGCAGTTTTCACAATTATTCGATCTTTCCAGTGCAGACCAATATAACGCACATTATACAAGAACCTGTTCCACGAAATATTTATTCGTGATTTTGGCTTGTGATACGATACTCTTCGTGATTCCTCATTATTTGCAACATGCGGCTTATGATGACGTTCAGACATAACCCAAAATGAAACATTTTTTCAGACTTCCCAAAGATTACCAGTTACATCTGGCATTAATTGAGAACCAGAAAAATGAGAGCCGACTTTTTTCCCAAAATCTCAGGCTAGTGATTATTTTTGGCTCCTAAGAGAATCCTAAAAAGCAATCATCAATAATGAATGAATATTTCGGTGGAAGTAAGATAAATATACAAACCTGATTTGAATGTATTTAATCTTGCACTAACAATGAATTTTAGTCCTTATTTATTAATAAACTAGGTGAAGTGCCAAAAATAGCAAATAGTGCAAAAATAAGAAAAAACAAAATGTTAAAAAAAGGAATGTGAGACACAAAAAAAATTATCCATAAGTAATGGCAGAAAAAAATACAGAAAACTAAGTTCTAAATTATGGAAAGTTTTAAATAATACAAGGATGGAAGTTTTCAAAAAAACACGATACTAATGAATGACAAGAAATTATTAATGATGACAAAATTACAAAAAGATAATATACTAACATTATATGAACAATTGCAGTGAGAGAGTATATACTGAGATATGAGCAACTGTGCTATCATATACAAGAATGTAGCTTTCAAAATGATGTGATGTATGTACGATGTACTATTTGTAGCAATCATTACAAAGGATTTCTCTGAAAGTCAAAAAATAAACTTGTATGATGAGGTAACCATGATTGAATGAACAGTAGGATGTGTGAAATACTGACGATCAATTATTTCTTCACAGTTTTACGCGTTCTTTTCATTCTTGGCTCATAATCTTCTGGACCTTTTGTCGTTTTTGATTGAACATGGTTTAGTTCTAACGTGCGGCCAGCACGTTTATAGTTAATCCTAACATATTCATCAATATGTTTCCGGAATTTTCTTCTTATTCCATCTGCACACATATAACGAATCTTCCCAAATACTGGTCTGTTCTAAAAAGGTATCATCAATAAAAGTGAAGTGTTCTGGAGTAGATACTACAATGAATAAATGCACATCTGTATTCCTATTCTTTTTTTTTAATAATGACACCTTTATATTTACAAAAATGAGTACCGACCGCATGAGCCCGATCGTGCATGCCAAAATTCCACATAACACCGCAATAGCCATTGGGATCCCGTCCATCCAACTCATGTTTGTCATTTTGTTCAATAAGGAAAGCGTAAGCACATTCGTAATCACGAGACCATTCGATCACTTTTTTCGCCCAATACATACGAAGATAACCCGACATCTGAAAAAAGAGAAGCATTTCTAAGCGATGTAATTTTTAGTTGGTCTTGTAGAGAATGAATTGAATTGAAAATATTGGATTTTGAAACAATGATTCACAATAGCGATGAATCTCACAATTGAATTGTTGAAAATACAAATGAAAACCAGCTGATACTTTATGAGTGAACACAAGTTCAAATTGTGCTGCATTCCAGTAAACATCATGCGTATATCCTTCTTCTAGCTCTTTATAGCTATAAATATATTCCCGTTTATCAAGACGATGCTCATTCATTGTTTTCTTTGCCCACTCTGGCAAGCAATCAAACTAAAAAAAAGCAATAAATGTGATTTCCCATGTCACTGATAAGTGAGTTTACAGTTATCAAGCAAAAATCCTTTGATCGCAAACTAAATCATACTGTATTGTAAGTAGTTCTGTAGTAATAAACAAAATTATGCGCTAGCTCCCGCCGAACAACCAGTTCTTCCAAAAATGCATCTGAAAAGCAAAATATGGTTTTACTAAATAAACATACCGCTATCGTATAAATTTCCCGTTACACAAGGATAGCATTACATGGAAAGCGCTTTTATTCAAAAGCTCAGATTTCAATCAAATTCTGTCAAGAGCAAAAAAAGCAAGCAAACAAGTTTTTCTTCCTCATATGCGACTATAATTGTTAAAATGACTCACTTCTATAGAAAAATTACCTTTGGCAGATTTTGGTGCTTTAGACTGTTTGACTTCCGCAACGATTATAATAGGATTTAACATGCCAAAATGGAGGTAAGGTGAGAGAAAACTCTGTTTTCCATTGATCGGGATATTCCTGATAAGAAATATATTATAATTAAAAAACAAAACAGATAAATAAAAAACAAGATTCGTATTATAACATCAAATGCTGCTAACAAGAAAAAGAAAAAACCTTTCTTTGTCATACGAACTTAGATTATTAGCGATGAAATAGTCCAGGACTTGCCGCGCAGCATCTTCGCCACCTTTTAATACACTGCTTGTTTTGCAATCATCAACAGCTCTTCTATATTCTGATAAAATATCTATACATTCCAAGCTATATTCTACCATGCTAAATGTATGGATATAGATAAGCATATGAAATGTTAATACATTAATCCTTGACCAGCGCAAGCTTCTCAGTTTTTGAGACAGTTTCTTTGATCATTAATTACTCAGCGAGCATGAGATAGAATTTCCGGCTTTGTAATTCATAATAAAGCACGGTTTAGTACTTACCTAATTATAGTATTTTTAGTTTTTGTCCATATTAACAACATCGATCAAACGGTTTATATTGAACAAAAAAAGCTTAATAAATATATGTTACGCACTTCCTCCACGAGTCACAGTGAATTTTTGGAGTAACATTCCATTTTTCAAGAAGAAAATCATCAAGTAAATACCATGCCATTTTCCGAATTGTACTAGCATTATAAGCTGGCTTGTTGCATAGGGCCTGAAAGATCGCTTATGTTTTATAACTGTTAGCACCATACTATTTTTAATAAATTTTATAATCTTCAAAAACCAAACGTTTGAGAAATTGAAATAAAAAGAGAATTAGAATCTAATGATATCTTGAACAGAGAATTATAAACACATTAGTCGATCATAGAATATTTAAAGAAAGCAACATAAATTACACATTACCGTCACGGGTATAGTGACATTTCCCTCAACTTTTGTGAATCTGCGACATTTCATTATAAGCTTATTATTAAGATTTTCGTCAAAACTGCGGTCTTCGAATAAATAAGCAGCATCTGTGATCACTTCACAGGCTTTATCAGATAGTTTCAAAACAATTTTTGTGGCTTCTTGACTACTGTTTACCTTTACAACTAGCAAAGGTACATGCAAACGTGATAGATTATTTTCTAAACAATTCAGTCCTTCCAAAAGAAACTTCCGCTGTGCCAAATTATGCCGATCTGTAACAAATAATTAAAATTGATAAAATTTCATACTGAAAGAGTGAATAATGGTTTAAAACTATAGCAAAATTCATAACGCAGTTAAAATAGTAAAGTTTTTGGAAAAGTACCTAGTTGATAGATGTAGATGACAAGAACTGGTACTCCATATTCATTGGCCTTTTGAGATGCGAATGAAAATGACGGTGATTGCCGCGAACGAATACATCGAATCAAAAGAAGAACATACCTCCCTGCGATAATATTTTGCTTATTCAAAGGCTGTATGCGGGAACTTTGCATCCTTTAACACATTCACTGTTATATGTACAGATGCAAAACTTTGTACTTCGTCACAAAGGACGAGCATTGAGGATGTTAGCTTAAATAAAATTAAACCACCGCCCCGTTCACCATCTTCCACGCTGACAACGTGTAACAGAATAGCTCACTGATCTGTCGACAATATCGGAAAGAAAGAATTTCTGCGGTGAAAGGTGTGGCGGGGAGAAGTTGGTGTCTCCCGAGTGCGGTCTTCTTAACTCTCTCTCTCTCTCTCTCTCTGTTTCTCTCTCTCTGTTTTTCTCTCTCTGTTTCTCTCTCTCTGTTTCTCTCTCTGTTTCTCTCTCTCTGTTTCTCTCTCTCTGTTTCTCTCTCT